AGATTGCCTGAGTGAATGTCTGGAGGTGTAGGCAACTCGGAATGATTGTGTTAAGCTAGCACTAAGTCCCTCCCTCATCCACCTTTATTCTTTTCTTAACAATAAGGCTTTCAAATAAGTCATGGTTGTACGGCAGTGAAGCATTGGTGTTGAACACTGATGGCTGTCTGTCGATGATGATGATGATGAATCCATGAGCGACCAGCGAGAATATCGGGACGTTTGCCAGTTCACCATCAAGGCAAGCTCTGACTGTCCGGAAGTGTGGACCCGACCAACAATCATGATTCAGTTTCTGCCAAAATTCGGTTATGCTGGCGCGTCCAAAGGGCAACGTAACTTCTAGAATTTTGTCGTCTCATATAGCTTACATACGGCGGGTTGTACGTGCTTTTTTAAAACCTGGTTTTAGGCTTTCGACGTAAGTTGTGATTCTTTGGTGGTATTGAAAGGTTCAGAGTGAGAACTGAACTGAGGAACTGCCATTATTACAGATAAGCTTGTGGATCCGACGTGAACCCGAAGGACCAAGATCAGTAGGTAAACTCACAGAGGCCTGTTAGCACCGACCAACTCAAAAGACTCGATGGATAACACCGGTACCTTTGCCATAAAAAGGTCCCCGTGCCCATTGTTATGCCATCATGTTTAGAACGGCCAGTGGCTTGGAACAGGCCCCTGAGCGTTCGCCGGCCGATCTAATTTCCTCGAGGTTACATCAGCGCCAAGGGTTTGCACGCGGCACCATAGTCAACTCAGAGCAACCATTCTGTGGGTCTCTGCTTTGCCAATGCGGGCGGAAGCATACGCAGGAATGTGCTGAATATGAGGAGAATACGGACAGCTCAGACGAGTGTTGGTCTCCTCGCTGAGCTAGGGAGGTTGGGTACCAAACATTACACTAGTAGTTGAGATCAGGTCACCAAGGCACCGTTGCGATATCGCATGTTAGTGGATGCGCGCGTGCATTACCACAAGTACTCCTAGCCCAAGGCAAAATTCCACGTTTGTTTTGGCCGTCCGACTGGTTGATCTGTTGGTTAGTGTTCAGGCTAGCTAGATTCCATGGGGCTTTCGGGCCTAGCCTCCCCTCCAATAACCAGTGCTGAAGTGAACTTTCTTCTTCACCTCTCTGGGTTATCCGCTATGACTTTTGCCTACGCGATTCCACGGGGTATCTGTATCTCGATTGGCTAGCCTGATAGATGGATCGATTGGGATATTTCAGCCGTTTGGTCCGTTCTTTGTACACAGTGGTAGTAGACTGGGTCCCGTTTGAGATGGGGGCTAATCAAATCAGTCGTGAGGTGTAACTTGACGGTAAACTGACTTCGCTGCTTAGTAGTACCGCGCGCGAAATTTTTGTACGCAGAAATCAACCATACGGGATCTCGTCTTCTTATGATTGTACAAGGTTTTTCCTTAAGCGTACATAGTTTTTTTCCAGTTTGTCCGACGTAGAACCCATTGTAATCGCCAGAGTTGACTTGATATGTCATGTCCTTTCTCTTCCCAAAGTGGTTCTACGATCTTGAGATTAGTTTCCACAAAAGTACACCCAGTTAACGAGAAACTAGGATCCCATCCACTCTCGCGGTGAAATGATATGGATTCCTGGTAACAAATTAACAAGTAGAAAGGAGGAGCAATAGCACCAGTATACTCGAATGGGTAGATTACTGACCCCTGCACACTCACACACCGAGGAGCAATAGCACCAGTATACTCGAATGGATAGATTACTGACTCCTGCACACTCACACAGGGAAGATCAAGCTTAAATGCCACGTGGATACCGGCTTAGTGGTTACAGCGCCAATTTACTGACTGGAAGGTCTTTGGTTCGAATCCGACCTCGGCCTCTCAACTTCTCCTGTCTAGGCTTGGGCAACTTGGTAGTATCCCAGCCCTCGTGCCTCTCTCTAGCGGCATGACAGTTAGGTACCGAAAGGATGTTACATCTGAAGGATGATCTTTTATATAGCTTTTTTAATCTGAACACAACCACTGGGGACGCTTCAAACGCACTGATGCTGTCACCGATTGGTGATGAAATCCTTGCAAACATATTTCCTAGTTTGGCGAACCAAGACCCAAAAAGAACATAAAAAGGAGAACCCAAACAAGAGGTTTGGAGTCTTACCTAGTCCTTTGAATCATTGCCAGAATTCGCGACAGCTTCATGATCAGAGCCATTCTGATGTCCCGGAGACTCAGTGGTGGGCGGCTGAGGATAAGCATCTCCTGGAAGAGATGAGCGAGTTTGTGTAGTGGAACTGACACTGGTACTTGTAACTGACGATATTGTTTTGCGCCGGCTATTTTGTGTGGTCGCGGTAGACGGTCTGCGCATGGTCCATACGCGGGGTTTTAGATTAGACGTAACGGAAGCAGAAGATGCCGTATTGGTTCCCTCCATCGACGCCGAAGTGTCCGCGGATACAGTAGGTGGAGAGCACGAAGTAGCAGTCGTATGGTCGGTCGCAGTGGCACGTATGCTTTCCGCGGACTCTGACGTGTCTGAGGTGTCAAGAGTATCTTCCGTGGAAACAGAATCAGTTTTGCGCACAGCGGGATTGTGACGGTTGAGTCTCTCTTTACGTGCCAAAGATCGATGGACGCCGGTGGGACCCGGAGGGTCTCGTGACTTTGGACGATGAACAATTGTCGCAGGTGGACTGAGCTGCTGATCACCGAAACCTCCTTCGACGTTCGGACCAACAAGATCTTCGTTAAAGAACCGGTCTAAACGAACGGCATACTCTGCAAATAGCTCAATGTCATTATGTCCAGCTCCTTCGACCCATGCAGGCTCCAGAGGATATGGAAGACGGGAGAAAAGTTCACGACCATGGTGAATTCCGATAATCTCATCGTCAGTCCCATGGATTATCAACGTCGGTGACAAAATGCGCGAAACTTTATCAATACTAGAAAAAAACGAGAAAATAATGAAAGTGAAATGTAGCGTCATTTGGAGAACATATGAGTCAAAAGCGTGAAAGAACAACTGTGGCTGAGGGATACGATCGAAACAAAATGCTGATGAATGACCCCTAACTGACCTATCACCTTTCTGGTCTACTTGTGAGGGTTTTGACGCGTCAAGCACAGGCTAGTATCATTTATTTTTGAAGAGCATGGTCACAAACATAAAAAGTGAATGCAAGCGATAAAAGCCAGAGTAACAGGAGAATATGGGAGAGAAGGAGAGACGTCCTCATTCGAAATCATGCCGAGGACAGTTCCAGTCTAATGAGGTGAATCCCAAAGTAATGTAAAGATTTTGGTATGGAAACAAGCGTCTAAAGACCAACAACCGAAGAAAGGACAAACAATGGTGAAAGCTCTTCAAGGCGCGGTAGGCGCTAGCACAGTCAAGACTCGCATATCAGGCACAAAGTGACCGTCATACTGGGTCTGGGGTGAGATTAAATGGCAAAAATGTACATTCAACGCCATGTGCCACGCATAAAAGTGTCATAAGTACACAGAGAGCCCAAAATGGCAACCGATGGACAGTCCTGTCCCCGGAACTGCATATCTTGAGTGTCGAATTGCAGGATCCCCGCCAAGATTGAATAATCACCCCAACCGAGCACACAAGTATTGTTAGTCGTGAATGTCATGGTTGTACGAGGGCTGGGATACTTCCAGGGCGCCCATACCTGGACAGGAGAACGTTTAGGGTCCTCAACCAAAGCCTTTGGCTCAAAAGCCTAACCGCAAAGCAGTGGTGTTTGGCCGGTAATGCAAATGCATTATCATTTCTAAGGAACAAGTCGCCATAAGTTCCAACCCTAAACCTGGAGGGCCAGGGCCTGTGTTCGTCAGACCTCTAACGATTGACCGTAGGAGACTCTGAGTGTCCGGGAACACCACTCACTATGGCTCAATGGGTCGCTGAGGATGCGGAAACCGTCACACCATGGTAAGGTCGAGTCAATTCGTGAAGAACTCCAGTTCACCTGATCACATCAGGTGATTGTGTGAAGACCTCTCATGACCACACAGATGACGTGCACTCAGGTTACGTCCAGTAGGTGACAGAGATGACCGCTGATGTGCTCGCGTTCTGAAGCAACGTTGTTACTGGCAGAAAACATGACGCTGAATAAACTATGGGAGTTTATGCGCCCAATCGCCTAATGCAATAATTATGTATACAAAGTTATCCCCTTGTAGGTGGTTGACGTACGGTGAAGTCTGTCGGTGAGGTTGCCCTCAAGGATAGGACACCCCGATCTTCACGGTGACTTGCTGGAGACGTTAAAGTCTCAAAGACAGTAAATAACCTTTCTGCCATTTCGTGCTGACCTTTTCTGCCAGCGTGCAGACTTCCACGGAGATGCACACGAGCTGCTAGACCATGATATTCTCCAGCATTCGGTGAGGACAGTGCTAGGCACAAACCCATGGAGCTATTCTAAAAATTGCTACCTCTCGCGGAAGATGAAATTTCTAGAGGACACATCCTATGCGAAGGTCAACCCGCCGAGCTTTACTCACGCTTTGGGAAACATTTGGTTTCGGCCATTCACCCTAAACTACTGAAGGGAGGTGCGTATCAGTACGGGATGTTTTGTTGTATGGCTGAGACTTGGCCTATACGAGCAGTGGAACTAAGACGTCTTTAGGTGTTCGACAATCCTTGTCTCAGANAAGCTGCGTTGGTTGGGACGTGTTACGTATGCCGAACCATCGTTTGCCGAAGAGAGTGCTGTTTTCCATGCCCAACTCAGAGTGGCGTAAACAGAGAGGTGGTCAACTCTTGACTTGAGTACGAAGGAGATCACGAAACGCTTGGGTGCTGTCGGTGCTACTCGCCTTCCAGGATGGGGACCGGGTGATCCTCACTGTGTCTGGTTGGAGACATTACAAGGTATGCCTGCCAAACGATGCCAGTGGTGTTCTTGTTGTCAATTTCTATCCAGATCACCCGAGTGAGTGTCTGGAGGTATAGGCACCTCGGAATGATTGTGTTAAGCTAGCATTAAGTCCCTCCCCCATCCACCTTTACTCTTTTCTTAACAATAAGGCTTTCAAATAAGTCATGGTTGTACGGCAGTGAAGCATCGGTGTTGAACACTGATGTCATGCTGTCGACGATGATGAGGACTGACGTTTATCAGTAAAACAGTAATTCCGCTGTTTTATCTTGGAAAACCTTTTTCCTAGAAAAACAAAACTATGTGAAACACTCGTTCCAGGGAAGAAGGTTCATTTTAGTTCTGGTGACCCAATGTCGAATCCCAGTCAGTATTAAAAAACACTGAGCGTTTTTCATCCCTTTCAGGAGCCTCTTTGAGCTTCTTATTATACGGTTTGCTTCATACATCTTTCGAAAACATAGTACTTTTTATCAAGTGATTTTTGCGTATTTTTCCACAGCTTTTATATTATTGAACTGGCTGACACGGATGCACAGTAGTGCAGTACAGGTGCTGTAAAATAAATAAGATAACCAGTCAGCTGTAACACCCTTTCGGTGCCTAGCTGCCATGCCACCAGAAGGAAGAACGAGGGCCGGGATACTGCCAGATTGCTCAAACCTAGACAGGGGAGGTCGAGAGGCAGAGGTCGGGTTCGAACCACAGACCTTCCGGTCAGTAAATTCGCGTTCTAACCACTTGAGC